TATATATATATATATATATATATATATATATATATACGTGTTGAAGTTGCTGGAGAAGAATTGGAGTGGAGCTGTGGTCGAGTGGGATTTGAGGAATGATTAGATGTTGATGCTGCTGTCGGTTGTGGGATTCAAGTATGACAGGAGCCGGTAACAGATGGATAAGCTGAAGTAGCTCTGTGCGTCATACAGATACATACGTACGCATTTGTCGTTAGCATTTTAGGTGTGAAGAAGGAAGGGGCGACCGTTTCGAGAGTGGAAGCAGGGAAGAGGACAACAACTGTCCAGAGCAGGGTACTGCTTCGGGGAGGAAGCCAATTGGAGGGGAGACAACTGTCCCAACCTAGAAACTTCCTCCGTCCGATCTGCTAGTTAACAATCATTCATATCTACACACATCCACGTCCTCTTCCATCCCACCTGTTCCTCGGCTTTCCCTATCTTCGTACTACTTCAAAGTAAGTATGCCAGAGCGAGGCTGTTGTTTACAGTGCTTCAATTACAAAGATCACTGACCCCTAACAACATGCAAAATCAACCTGTCCTTCTAAGGGTTAAAGTGTGTGCTTACACAAATACTAGTGTTACATTAGAAATGTCATAGGTAAACGAATTGATTGAATCAAGTGATTTTGCCTTATCCTGACACCTTCGAAAGGATCAGTGCAAATAGATCTAATTCATAAACCGTCTCCTGCAGGGACACTTCCTGACTTCTCTCCCGTTACTGTAAAAACTCCTCCGGTGGCTGCAACTTGGTGATAGTATTGAAGGGTAGTTTGAAGCACTGTTAATGTGACATCGGGGCAAGAAAAGCTCCCGTTAAACTGCCATGAGCTAGAATTTCATCAGCGCTTGCTTTTCATATTGTTTACGCCATCAACAATGGTCACTTTCCATCGTAGTCTCGCATTTCGGGCATTAAGTTGTCCATTACGATGGACTTGTCTGCCTGACTGACCATGCTTAGGCTCAGTTCCTCCCAGAAATCTACTTTCGTTGCTTCTCCGGTGATGGTGCTGGTGTATAATTGTGTATCTATCTGTCTATCTTTCTCTCTCTCTATATATAGATAGATAGATAGATATTTATTTGTTTATTTAATTAATCACTCAATTTATGTATTTATTCATGTATGTACCATCGTAGAAGTGTCACATCCTTTCCATTTTAATAGGCTGAAAGGAGGACTGATGGAATGAGTTTGTCGGTATGTGTGTGGGTGTTGTTCGTCCGACAAGAAAGGAGAATGGAAGTTACCGTAGGCGAGTTGAAAATGTGCACGAGGAGGGTACAAATCCATGGACATCGTCACCTCACTCGTTGAAATGAGGAAGGCAATGTGACAACAATTACAGCATACCTGTCGCCACTGTCACTAAAGTTCGCTGCCTGCAGATTTCATTTATTCATTGCTGATTTCATTTATTCCTTTCTGTAATCCTGGTGATGTCAATCGTGAAATCTATTTCATTGGTCAGATCAGCTGGATTTTTATATGTTCATACGCAGTTTATGTCAGTTATGAAGTGTTGAAGCTCTGTATGTTAAAAATCACTCTGGTTTTATGAATTTGTTATAATCGTCAAGCAGGTGGATAGTATTACGTAGACTTAAACGGATTGGATTGGTAATTTGCTAAAACATGAACAGTTGAGTCTATATCACTGCAGATATTACTTACTTGGAGTTGTAGGGATGTTGTTTGTATTAAATTTCAAGATCGTATATTTTGAAGACAGCATGCTCGTTTTGGAATGTGCTAAAGATGTTAAAATGTGAAATTAGGAATTGTGGAGAATCTGTATTTTCCATGGTGATTATATTGGATACGTGGCGAGTGTGTACCATGACGTGCTTTCATTACAGTGACAGTATTGCTTTTTGTTATCTTGTAATGGTGTAATTCATTGGGCTATTTGTTTATTCGTCGATCACTTCAAATTTTGATCTGTTCACAATTCCTAAATGATTTTCCTCTAGAGTATAGCATTTTAGATATTATGCTAATTTATATATTCTTTGGTATTATGTTACTGTTGCTAAAGAATTAAGAGATAAGAACTGCTGAATTCTTGCAAGAACGAACGGATTATATCGTTTCGATGTTGCTTTCACCGGCAATGCTGCCTCATCTGAATGCAGCGTTTAGGAATGGTAGTTCGAGAACGCTTGATGTTGAATCCGAACAACCACCCACTACTTCTGGTATTTTCATCCTCTTATTGTATTTTGCCTGATCTTTTAAAAATTTTCAAATTTTTATTTGGTGAATAAAATTCCCAACAAATCAAAAGGATCACTGGGTAACGAGGTCATGGAATGTTGAAGTTGGAATTCAGAGTCATCCGCATCAAGCTGCCACAGCTCTGTAGTTTATTCCAGCTTATTTGTGAAATTTAATGACAGAAGTCTTAGGCTTTACTTCAACTGATTTGTAGAAATGACTTTTGTATTTATGAACGCAATCGAATTCAAGTCAGCTTATTCCCTTTACCCGCCCCTCAGCGTTTAACGGGGACTGGTCATGTGGGAGGATATTGAGCCTTGCTTCCTATTTTAAATAGGAACGAAATTTAACTTGGTAAGGAGCAAAATTTTTAGGGAGAGCTGTAATTGTCGTCCGAATTTCAGAGCACTGAGTATTTTCAAAGTTATCTTCTTCAAGTTTGATAGTTAATTATTAGTCGTATATCTGTTTGCTGCAGGTAATGTTCAAAAACGGATTCAGTGTGGTTTAATAAGTGATTTATCAAGGAGTGGCTTGTCAACGATAGTTAATGCTGATGATATCACGAATGCAGCGGACGCTAGTAATAGTGGTACGGTGGACCAAACCGATCTTATCGAAGCTATTACGTTCGCATCACTTTATGGTTTCCAGGTGCTCGATCCTTTTGTTTTATGTCGGGCTATTTAAACATAATTAAATAGGAGTGTTTGCTTGAATTGTTTTTGAGCCCCATAAGGCACTGCTTATGTTTATTTTGCCTTTAGATGCCTTTAGATGAGTTTTTGACAGGATGTTTGATTAGCCGTTATGACTTGAATAGAAAAAAAATTTAAGCCTGAGAGATTCTCTTAATCAGCTTTCATCATCATTTGTAAACAACATTTCTTCGTGGTGTCATACGGAGTCGTTCTGTTCCGCCTGTGTTTTTCGCTTCATACAAGAGCACTTTTAAAGATCATTTCATTGGAGGATTTATCCAAATTTACTTTGTCTATTATTTGCCTTAGTTTAGTTCCATCGTATTTTATGCCATTTTTTTGTAGGTTCTTGTTGTCAAGTAGATTTTTGTTAGTATTGTGGAACTTTGTTTGCATGATTATGAAAATTTCGTTGTTTTAATAATTTAATAATTATGTTGTTTTATGTAGGCAGTGCCAATACGTATCAAAATATTGTTACACCGTGCATTGTCTACACTGACAAAAAAACGAGCCGAGGCAATCATTCGACGTACTGGTTGGAAAATAGATGATTTTGAGAGAGGATTTATCCAAGAGGTAAGCATATTTGAACTCAATCCTTAACTGGATATCGGACTAATATATGACTTCTTAGTTGTTTAATTTTTATCTTATTCTTTGCTTGTAACCAGGATATTGCCCATGTTTTTTGTTTTATCTAGAGCGTTTGTTGCCCCTTTTATTGTTGTTTTTCTTCTGGAGAGAAAACTTCAAGGTAGGTGTTCAAATCACGTTTGCTCCATTTCTGTACTTTTACACTTTTAAACTTCAACATAATGCATTTTATCTTTTGATATTAACACGCTTTCCCTCTCGTTCACAACAATCAGTATATCAGAATCACTGTATGATTCCAGATGGAGTAATTCTTTCCTAATTTTGTCAGATAAAAGAACAGAGCTTGTAATCCATTTCGTGTAATCTTATAAATTGGAATTCATTTTTCTTCGATTTTTACTACTGTATTTTTTTTTGGCATTAGGGCGTGATTATCAAATCGAAAGTTTAAGACTTTTTTTTTTCAATTCACACCATAATAGTTATATGTTGTGTTTTCACGGTTCCAAAAGCGCGTTAATCTAGTTTTGCAGTTTTTCTTTTTCTTGCAGATAGTTTAGGATTAAGACTGTTATTTATTTTTATTATTCCTTGAAGCTTTTGGGCCATCTGCTTTTGTGATCTGTGCACCAACCTGCTATGAACGGCAAACGTTTTATTTTATTCTCCAATGTTTTTTTCATTACTAGGTGCACATGCTACAATACAGTTTGATATACTGTTAAATGGGTAGTTGCACGTGCATTTCTTAGAAGCTTGAATCCCGGTCAGCTAATCAGCTCGTCATGAAAACTTAGTTGTATTTGAACGTAATAGATAGATTGTAGTGGTGGAGGTTTTCCGGTAATATCATTTGAAAGATACCAAAAAGATATAATGTGCATTGCATACTAATGTTTCATCATCTCAGTTTCAAGCTTACGACTAGTATGTCTCCAATGGAATATGAAAAGGATGTCGTCTTCATAAAGAGAGTTTTCGAAAATAATAGCATTAGATCGATTCCATCAGAAACAGAGAGCATGAAGTGCGAAAGCCTGGTTGTCAAGCGAAATTTTAATCGAAATGTTCTCAGTGATTGTAAGAGGACGAGAACGGCACTGTTGCAAAATACGGTTGCTAAAATATATCCAATAAATGTTCTCATTCGGCTTAACCTCGCGCACTCATACACTGCTGACATTTTTAATCACTTGGTTTACAAGAATAATAGTCTCAGGGAATAGTAGTCGAGAAAAAAGGTTGCTTCTTGTCTGAATTTCGGCGTCGTGGACCAGAATTTTTCTACTAGTCATCTGGAATGCATGGTAATATCAGCTCTATTCTGCTTACTCGTCGATTTATAAAATAGGTTTCCACGTATTAAATCGTTTCAATTTCTTGCAGAAGAAAGTGATGTGTATTTGTCGAATTAGTGAACGAAATAATTACGGACTTTGGATCAGTGTATTACCCTTCACATCTTATCTCACGCTTATTCGATCCAGAAGCGAGCAAGACAGAGTGATCTTTTACTGCGCAAACATCTGCTTTCTTCAATTACACGAAATGAATTGGGGGCAGTCTGAAACCATTCTGTTCGGATTCAGTCACTTATGCTTCGTCTTCGTCTTGTAAGTGTCAATCTATGGATGTTGGCAGTAGTGCGAAGAGTGCTGATAAAATATGGGATGTTATTAGAACCAAATGTAAAAAGCAGATGAATGATTTTGGCGATTAAAGAATTGAAATGATGGCATGCTCAAAGTCAGATTGGAAGCGTCAATCTATGAATGTTGGCAGTAGCATCTTTGCGGAAAATATTGAGAAATAAATATACCGTGTAGTTTCCAATCAGAATTAGAATATAAAAGGTAGCAGAACGATAAAACCGAAGATAACCTTAAAGGATTACTGCTATCTCCGTGAGTACTACTGTGTTGAGGACGACTGAGACTTTATTGCTAACGAATTTAGAAGTTTGTGATAAAGGAAATGAAGGTCCTTGGCTCGAAATTTTGTAGGAAAAAAAATTGTACCTCAAATAAACTGTGTCATCATAGTGACATGAAATGTTTCAGGCATGTAATTTTTAGTTTGACGTTGGATATTGTCTTCGTCTTTGAGTTTCGGTTTTGGATCTTTAAAAATTGAAAATCAGAAGAGCCATAAAGCTGATGCTTTCAAAGATTAGTTCGCTGAGTTAGATAATGTCAACACTCTTTGCGGTTTTAATTCAAGTTTATAATCAAGTGTACAGGCTTTTATCATTCCTGATTGTGCGAAATATGATTTCAGGTGAGACTTTAAAATTTAATAATTGAGCAAACACACATGCAATCTTAATTTTTAAGGAAATATGGTGTAGAAGCAACAATAACGTTCGTTTCCTTGTTGTCTTTTTATCCTGCTATAGGTATTTTTTGGAAACGGCATTTAGATCAAGACGTTGAACCGAACCGAATTGCATACTGCATTTTACGGAAGGATTTATTTTGTAATAATTTTTATCCTGCCGTAGGTATTTTCCTTTCTTCTTTTTGCTTAATTTGTAATATGAACTAATATTGCATCGCCAACTTAATTTGCATAAAATATTGGGTCATGCATGCGTCCTTCGTAATCTTATCTCGGGCATTCTAATTCGACGGTAGGCCTCATTAGGAACATGGAATAAAGCAGTTGTGGTTTTGTAGCATTTTTGGGATGTTGCATGAGATAGATGGGTATGCTTATGTGATATGGACGTGCGTCTTTTGTCGATTAGTCATCTATAAAAGCTTCTGTCGCTTTGTTGGCACTTTTTGACACTCTCTCTAGGGTCCACTGATTTTTGTTGATGCTTTTGCGGTGCTGGTAGTGCTACCCATGCTTTGGTGTGATGACAGATTTGGATGGGTTTTTGTTGGTGAGTGAAAAGTGACCTTGCGAAGCAAACATCTCCCTCGAGACATATTGCTGTTACCAGTAGTTTGTTCCCGCAAATTTTCCCCATCCACTACCCACAATAGCCCTTTTCATCCATCCATCTTTTCATCCCGTTGTCAGTAGACGATGAGCCTGTTCTGTCTTATCTCGGAAAGTGTCGTTCATATAAGATGACTGTTTTACCACTCCTTAATTAAGTAATTTATGTGTTAAAATTTGAAATTTGTGTTGCAAATTCTTCGGGAGCGTTAGCATCAGCAGTTTTAGCTGATGAATTTGCGACTTTTGTAGCCCGACATTCTTGATTATCATAGTTCTACGCTCTCTGTCTCTTTTTGCAAACTGTCATCAAATATATATGCGTGTTTGTATGTGTTGATTCAGCAGCAACGCAGTGCACCCCATAAAAAATTCTTTTCTTACTGGAAAAAAGTGCTGCTTTTAGAATGGTTAAGTGCATAGGTGTCATCCCGAATCATTGCTCCTATTTGATAGTAAATGGCATGCATACCATTTGAGCCATCCCGTTCACCCTTGAAATACTGCTGTAAGGTGTTTTTATCATTTCAAATATTTTGTTGGTTGTTTTTGCTGTTCTTAAGTTAAAATTGTACCCATCATCATTCGTTTTAATCACTGGCCTAGGCATTATCTTCACTTCAGTCCCAGAAGAGTAATAGGTTTGATGAAGTCGAAAGGCGAATAATTCCATCCATTGCGTAACAGCTCGGAATAGCTTCATTGTCGATCCTTTTCGTACCGCTAAAGGCGCGATATCCTGTCTGTTATAGTCAGCTCAGTCTATAAAATCTTCTAAAAATTAATTGAATGAATCACCAGTTAATTAAATGGCGAAAATCTGAGCTTTGTAGCTGCAGCGGCAAAAGGCATGTAACAACCAAGGACTTCCATTTTCATCTTTTAATATTCTTTTTATCTTTAATAACAGAGGATCTCTTTAAAATGTATACTTGTGTTTAGTCCATATTACCGTCATCTATTCAGCATATCTTCGCAAGTTGTTTAACACAAAGGTGTGAAAATTTAGGAGAGAAATAACTTTCTTATGCAAGATTTAGTAGAATAGGAGATCTGAATCAGTAACAGTTTATTAGTATAAAATATAAAGTGTATATAGTGGACCGTTGTTATGAGTTAGTGGCTATTCAACACTAAGAACTATGCAGGATTTCATGTTTTACTGGAGGCAGTGTGGATTTAGGACATATATACAATACCTTGTTTTAAGATCTGTTGATTGTTTGTAACTACATTTTTCCAGTAGCAGTCATTACTCGAGTTTTTTGGTGATTACATAGTTGCACTTCACTTCCCTTGTCTTCTCTTGAGAAACGCCTGTAATTGAAGTAATGCAGCACTCATTGAGTACTCGTTGATCTAGCACTCGTTGATCTTTTCATCTGGACAGTATTGGCTGTTGTGTTCACTGTTCCGTAAGATTGGCGAACAATGAAAAGTTTCAATTGGTTGAGGAGAACCAGTGGATATTAGTGTCTGTGGTGGGTTGTTGTAGACACACTTTGTAGTTCGATGCATATCATACATCATCCACTACCGTATTACCCTTCTCTTTACAATTTCCAAGCGTTTATTTGTGTGTGTCACATTTCATATGGCAGATTAGTGTCTCTCTCTGCTCGTCTACTCATTAGTGTCGCCTTAGCTATATAGGGAATACAGGTGGCACCAGTGACCGTTTATCCGTTGTCGGTTCCACTCAGCATTTTCCACTGAGGACATACTCCGTGAATACTGTTAGCTTTGTATAATTTCACCGCTACCATAGTATGTTGTTTTTTGCTTCTTTCTTCCGTGCTACAATCTCGAAATACTGGGCTTCTAGACGGCCACATATTATATTACAAATCAGGTGGACATTAAGCTTGAATAAGTATTACAATGTTGCCAATTTACAATCGGTCATTAAAGGCATGAAAAAATGTGAGCTGTGACAATAAATATACATTGTAGAGAATGATTAGTTCATTGTGGTAAAAGATCGCCACATAAATAAGAGATTTTGTTTACTCCAGTTTTGTTTTATTTGCGTTTTATTGCAAAAAACCCAAACGGTTTTTTTTTCTGAACAAAAAAGTTGATACGAAATTTATTTCTTCAGAAATAAATTTCTATAAATTTCTCATTCAAAATGTCCAAGTGAATAGAACGTCAATTTTGGTATTTTTTGAAGAAAATGAGTGCAGAAGCAAAAGTAGTAAGAAGAGTTGAGGACATGATGACATCTTCTGACAAGTATTTGTAATTGTGTTTAGGCGAGGGACTGCAATATTTTTTTTTTTACTTTTGGTAAGCGAGAAGGCGTTGATAGTTCATTGATAGCTTGTTGGAGTTTGATGTAGTGTTTTTGAAATCCGAATAGAATAGCATAAAACAGACAAGCAGATAAATGGACAAATACATACCGAATATCTGTTAACTTATCTTACAATTTCTGACTCTTCGTCTTAGCGAAGGCAAAGGAGAGAGGAACATAATTATGTTCTGGATAAATTACTGCTGAGAAGCGAACGTTTCAGTGCTCCCGAAAAACATAAGACAAGATTGAAGCATTTTTGGTTGGGTTCGGATAAGCCTCCTTCAGGGAAAAGGCATGTAATTTCCAGGAACTGGCGACATGAGTGATTTATCGTTCACGCTCTGAAGATGCTATTCTTGGGTGAGGTGACAATATGAACTATGTCTGTGAGGTTTTCGTCATTAAGCTCTGCACCATTTTCAGAACATTATCCATTTTATCTTCACCAGGATCTATTCACTCTCAGAGCTATTGTAGATTTTGGTTGAAAATTTAATTTGAAGTTTGTAAGTGGGTAATTATCCTTTCCTTATCATTTCTGTAAAATCAGAGAGATGCATTTAAGCGCTTAGTAAATGACTATTGGGGTTTCCCACGTTTTAAATTTGTTGATTCAAGATTGTAAGCTGCTTACTCCACTCTTTGGTCGGTAAAGTTCGAATCTCAATTCCAAAATGCGAGGGAAACATGATTAAAAGTTTCTCAGGAAGGAATTTCCTAAAAAGATAGAATATGACACCACTGGAGAAGACACTCAGTTTTAAACTCCGATTTCAAACAGAATGACGATGCTATTCATTTGGATGTGTGGTGTGGACATAGGCTTAAGAAAGAGCTAAGGCTCAAATTAGGTGTCAAGATAAATTGATTCCTTCCTGGAACATGGAGTAATGTCATCAATTTCAATATAACAACAGGAGCGTTGAAATGATCCATGAATTTATACTCTGATATCCGTAAAAGCTCATGAATAGGCCTTTCAATGATGCAATATTTCCTGTTAAAATATACCCCTTAACAGTATAAAGTGAAATATTCGTTAGTAATAGGAAAATGGACTTAAGTGCAATTGCTGCTTTAAATTGTATAGCTAACATGTCCATCTGTTCGAAATCATCAATGAAGCTTTTAAATGAGGAATGAAATGCCGGTAATTGAGAGGGTGAAATATCGATAATTGGGAATTGTTATCCTGTATGACAAAAGAGGAATCATTTCGGGATAGTGTTTTGGAGAAAGGAGTTGAGTTGCTATTAATTGTACTTACAGTATAGTAGGCTGAAGTCTTATTGCTGCCTTATACTAATTTACAAGGACTGTGCTTCGTGTTTTTTTTAATCCTT